TCAATTACCATCACATTGACTGAGTGTATGTCACCTCCGGAAGAGATGCAAGATAAAATTTCTAGACACCATTAATTGACTGCTTCTTGGAGCAGCTTGTCCTGGAATTCACAAGGGAAGAAGCAATTCTTGATTTAGTCCTAAGTGGAGCAAGGGATCTGGGTCTTGAAGGTGAATACAGCTGAAATGCACAGTTATAGAGACCGTAATGCAATTAAATTTTACATCTTTGTAAAGGGAAAAATGCTAAAGAAACCCAACCCAAAAGCATTTAACTTAAAAAACTGGAGAAATACAAAAATTAGAAAGCTAGTTAAATGGCTGCAAACTGCTTGGAGACTATTTAAAAATCAACAAACTGGATGCTGAACTAAATGAATACCCCCCAAATTAAAAAAATGAGTAATACAAAAAAAAAAAAAAAAAAAAAAAAAAAAAAGAAGCTATCATTGCCAGTTAGGCAAGTAAAAGAGGCAGTTAGAGGCAAAAAATGCATCCTTTAAAAAATGGAGGTCTTAATGAGGAAAACAGAATCATAGAATCATAGAACACTAGAACTGGAAGGGAACTCAAGAGGTCATTGAGTCCAGTCCCTTGCCCTCATGTACCTCCAGTACCATCTAGACCATCCCTGATAGATGTCTATTTAACCTGATCTTAAAATATCTCCAGAGATGGAGATTCCATAACCTCCCTATGCTACTTATTCTAGTGTTTATCAACTCTGGCAGTTAGGAAGTTTTTCCTAATATCCAACCTAAACCTCCCTTGCTGAAGTTTAAGCCCATTACTTCTTGTCCTATCCTCAGATGCCAAGGAGAACAATTTTCTCCTTCCTCCTTGTGACAACCTTTTGGAAGGGAGCAAAAATTCTGGCAAGTCAAATGTAAAAGTATAGTAAAGCAGGCCAGGAGAGAATTTAAAGCTCTAGCTAAGGCCTTGTCTACATGGGCATGTTTCGTCACCAAAACCTGCCTTTTGGTGACAAAACAGAGAGAGCATTTATACTTCAATGCAACTTTTGTTGGGAAAACACCCAGTTTGGTGACAAAAAACTTCTACCCTGTGAAAGACTTTTTCTTTCCCCCTCCCTTTATTGTTGAGAAAGAGCCAGTGTGCACTCTGCTGTTTGTTTTGTCCAGAATCACACAATGCCTGCTCTGATGGCTATGCTCAGTGTTTTGTGATCTCTGCTGCCCTGCAGCATACACTCCTCCCCTTTCAAAGCTCTGGGAAGTATCTGACAGCTGAGTGAGTGGCTCTGTTTGGGGAACAAACAAAGAGAAAATCATTGGAATACTCCTGTTCTGCCCTATTAGGAACACAGTGGCAGGCAGGCTGTTGCTGCAAGGGGAGGACTGGAAAAACTACTGTTCTGCTTTGGCTTTCCTCAGACTGTAGAGTTCACAGAACAGCTTTGTTTTCCACAACAGTGCATGATGACACGCTTATCCACATTGCCTTGCTCTTTCTGTCGGCAGGATGCTAACAACGTGGCCATGAAACGTCTGGTTTGACTGGTTTTCACTTTTGGTGACTTTTGTATTCAACAGCACTTTAATTGCCAAATCTTTCCAGTGTAGACATAGCCTAAAACATAGCCTAACAGCAATTTTTTAAAGTACATCAGATGCAGCAAGTCTGCCAAACAGTTAATGTAACCTCTAGACAATCGAGATGCTAAAGGAGCATGCAAGTATGACAAGGCCATCACAGAGAAGCTAAATGAATTCCTTACATTGGTCTTCACCTCAGAAGATGTGAGGGAGATCCACACACCTTTGCCATTCTTTTAAACTGAGAAATCAGAAGAACAGTTAAAGATTCAGCTATTAGTACAGGAGGCTTTTAGAACAAACTAGTAAATGAAATAGTAATAAATCATGACCAGATAATATTCACTCAAGAGTTCTGAAGGAACTGAAATATGGAATTACAGACCTATTAACTGTTATATGGAACCTATCATTTAAATTGGCCTATGTATCACATGACTGGCATGCACATGATTTTTTAAAAAGGCACCAGAAGTGCCTTCAGGTAGGTAAGCCTGACTTCAGGACTAATCACATTGGGTGAAACTATCGTAAAAAACAAAAATATCAGACATTTAGCTAAACATGATAACAAGAGCCTCAAATCCCAGTTTACTTGGACTTCCAGAAAACATTTGACAAGATCCCTGATCAAAGACTCTTAAGCAAAGCAAGCCATTATAGAATAAGCAGGAAGGTCCTCTTATGGATCAGTAACTGGTTAAAGATAGGAAACAAAGGGTAGGAATAAATGGTCAGTTTTCACAATGAAAAGAGGTAAACAATAGGGTACCCCAAGGATACTGGGACCAGTGTTGTTACACATATTCAAAAATTATCTGGAAAAGAGTGAATAGGTGGCAACATTCACAGATTATACAAACTTATTTAATAGTTATATCCAAAACCAATTGCAAAAGTTAGAAAAGAATCTCATTAAACTCAGTGACTAGGCAACAAAATGGTAATGGCATTATCTTCAAAACAAGGCTGAAAAATATAATCCCAATTATATATAAAAAATGATAGGGTCTAAATTAGCTGTTACTACTCAAGGAAGGATACATCTACATAACAGCGTTATTTTGGAATTACTGATGTACCACTACAAGCCTTTATTTTAAAATAATGTCGAGCTGGAGGACTTCTTACTCGGACTCATGTAACCCTCATTTCACAAGGAGTAAGGGAAGCTGAAGGAAGAGTATTCTTCCTTTGACTTCCTGCTGTGCAGACAGTGCCAAAAAACAAGTTAAGGTACTTCGACTTGAGCTACGCGATTAATGTAGCTGAAGTTGCTTATCTTAACTCGACTTTAGCTTGCAGTGTAGACATAACCACTGTAATATTGCAGTCATCATGACTATTTCTCTGAATGAATCTGAACTTGCAGGGGCCAGTCAATAAAGCTAGCAATGTCAGGAACCATTAGGACAAGAATAGATAATAAAACAAAAAATATTATAACACAGCTATATAAATCCGTGGTATATCAATACCTTGAAAACTGCATGCATTTCTGGTCACCCCCTCTCAAAAAAGTAAAGTAAAATTGGACAAGATGCAGAGAAGGGCAACAAAAATGATTAGGGGATGGAACATCTTTTCATATAGAGAGAGCTTAAAAAGCTTGGGATAGTTCAGCTCAGAAAAGAGATGATGAAAGAGGGCATGATAGGGGATTGTATAATCATGGACTGTGTAGAGAAAATAAATAGGAAGAAAATCTTATTTATCCCTTCACATAGTATAGGAATTGGGATCAACTGCTCACATTAATAAGCAACAGGTTTAAAACAAACAAAATGAAGTACTCACAGTCAGTCTGTGGAACTCAGTGCCATAGGATATTGTGAAGGCCAAAACTGTAGCTGAGTTAAAAAAATAGCTATAATGATAGGTATATCAACAGCCATTAGCCAGGATGGTCAGGGATGCAATCTCATGCTTTTTGTGTCCCCAATTCTCCACCTGCCAGAAGCATTTTGCATTGGACACTACCAGATAAAGGATACTGGGCTACATGGACTGACCCTATATGGGATGGAATATTTTGGGTGAGAATACCATTTTTCTTATGCTAATAAAGCTTCTTGTTCCAGGTAAAGAAAAAATAATTTAGAAGGGCTAAAGATGTCCTAGCATTCTGCATCTGTTCCTATTTTGGTTCTTTCTTTATAAAGAGATATAAAAAATGCTGATGAGATGGAATCTTTTGCCCAATAGGCCTGTTTGACTGATTCCAGACCATGAGGGAAGACACCCTCTCCCTCCCCCACTGAACCCAGCAGGGAAGGTCTTACCTCTGTCTTTTTAACTAAAGCAAGGACTGCAGTTTCCTAGCCTACAGGGATTTTCTGGCTTGCAGCAGTAGCCAGCTGTGTGGAATTAATGAATGTGTCCCCATAGGCTATATGAAGAACACAATGTAGAAATTTGATGATTGAATGTGGCTGAAGGTGTCAGAAATGAAAGATTTCTTGAGAAAAGGGCTGGAGCTTAGAGGTGAGGTGAGGTATCCTTTTCTTTGTCTCTTCCTGGAACCTAAGCTAGTCCCCTCCAAGACAGTGTGGCTGTAACTCTTAGACATGAAGGATAGAGTACCAAAAAGAACATGCACCCATTTGACCACATGGATGTGGGACATGAAATACAAAGGGCCTGAGAAGCACAACTTGGCACACCTCAGTGAGGTGAATCTATGACTGAAATCTTTTAACTTTACCATTTTAAAAGATACCAATTTACTATTATTCTCTCTCTCTTAAAAAAAAAAAAAAAAAAAAAAAAGGACAGATAGTTCCAGTGCTACCTCTTGGCTGTTTTTATCAGAATGGATTATTGCTTAAAAAAAAAAAAAAAAGAATGGATCCCATCACAGTGGGCTGGGATTCCTTCATTATAGAAAGGAGAAACTCAGGGAGGGAAGGGTACTGGCCTTGAATGTTCCCAGAAAAAAGATGTTTCTGTAGATAGTGAATTTTATCTTGGTAAGACTCCCTCTACTGTGTTTGACATTCTGAATTACATGATTATATACTATAAGATTCCAGCAACATTTTGTATTGTAAAGACGGAGATGCTCAGCATTTTGCCAGATGCCAAGCGATACTATGGTATTTCTATCTTCTCTTTAATTTGAACAACAGTCAGCATATTTAAAATAGAGCCAAGAAAATCTGTTACCAAGTTACACCAGTAGTATTTTCCCTAATGAAGATCCCATAGCTGATAGCAATCAAACTCCAGAAAGCTGTAAATCTGGAATAACACAAGGCTCAGTTACTTGCAAAGCACTATAATTTTATATCAGTTTAATAAGTAGATCATTGGATACAGGCTTTTGTAAGTAAGTATATACATACTGCACCATTTCCTGATTCAGTGTGCTCCTCTGTGTTGCAGGCTGTGTGCAGTGGGGGAGGTGCTAGAGCTGATCAAGCAGTGTAATTTTATACATTACTGAATCAGTGCAGGAGAAACCTGGAGGGACAAAGCATCATCTCATCTTTGGACTGCATTGTAAAATCCTATAGCTCTTTCATCCTAGCCATGCTCTGATAGATTTTTCCCTGTTCTTTTTCTCATTTTGGTGTGAACGATAAAGTGATCTGATGATGGCTCTCGTTATGGAACCTATTAGCAAGTGGACGCCCAAGCAAGTAGTGGATTGGATGAAAGGTATGATAATTTATTACAGTTAATACAATTATTATCTGTGCTTTGACTCTATGAGATTTACATTTCTACTTCTGTATTTTTTATTTTGTCAAGAGTTAGTTTAGTTCTAAAAATCCATATGCTGCTTGATACAGTAGTTCTCAGAGCTATGACTGAACACAGACCTGATATAAGCTGCAAAACATGCTGTTGGAATCTCTGTTGAGAACTGAGTAGTGATCTAATGCATTTGTGGATAAATGCAGACATAACTATAAATGTTTGTGCCGTAAGACTCCATTATGCACTGCAATGTAATGATATTATGTTTGTTATCTTTAAATATGCCTTGATTAGCTTTGTTTTGCTCCTATCAGGTGATTTCATGCAGTGATTATGCATGTATGCAGCACTCGAGTGTAGTTTTATGGTGATACACAGAGAAGACAAGGTGCTGGACTATGGAATTCTGATTCTTTTATTATGTCCTGGTTTGTGCAGCTTCCCAGCTTCTCTTGTTAGTGTCTCTACATTTTGTATAAAGCATACGCTTCTCTGATAGTCACTAGTACCGTGGACAGTGCAGTCTTTACCATATATGGAGAGTGCAAGAGGAAATGAGAAGAGCTGCTTGTCTGTGCACTGCTTAGAAGAGTTTCCCCAACCAAGATAACTTGACAGGAATTATGATTTCCCTGCACATTTGTAGTTTCATAAACACAGAAATAAACTGTGAAATGTTTTCCTTTGTTGATGCTTTGTTTTGTTGTGAACAGATTGATTGGGATGGAAAAGTGAAAAATTGTTCATGATAAGTATTTCAAATTTCTCTTGAATAGGAAAAAATGTTATTTATATAGCACACACATTACCATAGTTATACAATTTCTAATGTGGTGTTGCTTTAAAAAGCTAACTAATTTCTGTTGTAAAAGGGTTTGCCATTATGTGAGGGAAATAGGTGCAATTTTTAATTGGCAATGTATCTGTGGATGTATGTATTCTTCACTGGGATTTCAAATATATTACAGGATTAAACTGGATGGCTGTAGTTTTCTTTAAAGCCTTTATATTTATAATGTGTGACTGGCTTTGATATAATGATGGTGAAATATATGTTCACAATTAACTGACTGAAACTGGGCTAAGTGCTCACTTATCTTACAGTTGTAAACACCTTACTTTTCCCGCAACCATACAGTATCGTAAGGCAAAAGGCATCTATGGGAATGCTTGTAGGTTTTTTTCTCAAGCATCTTCAGCTCACGCTAGTTGAGAGGCTAATTATCCTAAGCGGTCACCAAGGATGGCTCTTGAAAGCACCAGATATATGATTGATAGCTGTGTCCAATTACATTAATTAAAATCATATGACAGTGCTGGGGAGAAGAATTTGATTATATATATCATCGTCAGTATTTAAAGGGTTAAAAAGTGGCAGAGTCTGTTACAGTATCTAAAATTATGAGTTAGTCTGTAATGTAATGCAACTGGTAATATTTAAATAATACTTGTTACTGCATTTCAGCCTATTCCAACAGCTCTTCAGACTTTTGATATAATCTGACTACATCTCGGGTAACAGGCTATGATAGTAACATCAGCAACTTTTCCACAATGAGCAAATAGTTTTAGTACATACAAACAGGAGATTTTTTTTAATGTGTTATTCAGATATTCACCGTGTAGTCCCTCAGGATTAAATTGCCTTTCTGATGGGGGACTTTTTATATATTTTAAAACCTGCTGTTTAAAAATCTTCCAGTATTTTTATATATAGACTACGCGTCACATATCACATAAAGTAACATTTTCCTGGTTTTTAAGTTCAAATATAAATAAGAATAGTGTATTGATGACTGAAATATGTGTAGAATTGAAGGTTTTTCATTAGTAATATGAGTTCTGCATGCGTGAAGACAAAGGAAGCTATTATTATCAAACGTATATAATGCTACCATATTTTATCTTAATATTTGCGCTGTGCAAATATGTGCTTCAGCTGTTAGTGTACGCCACTTGTAGTCAAAGAAAAAAGATTCTAATGAATAGAGCATCACAGCTGACAATGTAATATGGTAACAATTACTTCAAAATCAGATGGAAATCCCTAAGTTTACTACAACTGAGTTCATCATTGTCACCGTTGCATTGTACATTGTTTTGTATGCTGTGAACAGTTTAACTAGTGATAGTTATTCTGCTAAATGGATTTTAATACACAAGTTAGGATGAAGCTGCAGATTATGGGTGTGTCTAGACTACAGAGTTTTGTCGACAAAAGTGGACTTTTGTCGACAAAACTATACCTGCGTCTACACTACCGCTGAGTTCTGTAGACATAATGTTGACAGAACTCAGCAGTTTTGTCAACTCTGGTAAATCTCATTTTATGAGGCATAACGCCTTCTGTCGACAGAGTTCTGTCGACAGAAGGTGTTATTGCATGTAGGTTTGTGTCTAGACTACAGGGTTTTGTCGACAAAGCAGCTTGCTTTGTCGACAGAACTGAATGTAGTCTAGACACTCTTTGTCGACAGAAGCTTTGTCGACAGTATCTGTTGACAAAACTTCTGTCGACAAAACCCTGTAGTCTAGACGTACCCTATTAGTGGCATTCCTTTGCTTTGTAACTTATCTGTATAAATCACCCATACAGAATGATTTACTTCTGAAAATACTCACATGCCAAAGCTTGACACAACAACTTAGCTATTTATATTGTAACTTATTCTGCACTTCCTGCTTAAATATATTTATTTGAAAAGGATCAGAAGTCATAATTTTCAACAAGGACTTAGATATGGAATTGAATTATTACTAGTACGCCATACTGTGCATTTCATGGAGAAAAAGACAATGCAGCCTGATTCCCAGTTCCATGAAACTACATCATAACTACTCCTGTTACAAAATCACCTTCCTCTAATATTTGCAGTAAAATTACTGTATTCTGAAGATGGATCTTAACCTCAACTACTGAAAGAAACACATTACAATTGAAGCATTTTAACATAGTGTTCAGCAATCAGCCCCTGTAAAAATGTACCCCATTTGCCCTTCAAATACGTTCTCAGTTAACTTTAATATTAAAGAGACAGGAGAGAAGCAATACTTTTTTTTATTGGTCCAACTACTATTAGTGTTAAAGAAAAGCTTTCAAGCTTACACAGAGCTCCTCTTTAGGTCTAGGATCTGTGGAACTTCAAAAGCTGGTCTTTCTCATCAACAGAAGTTGTTCCAATAAAAGATATTTACCTTACACACCTTATCTCACTAATATTCTGGGATCAATGTGACTACAACAACACTGAATACAACAGTGTTAAATATTAAAGGCTGTTAGTCAAAAACAAATTTCACAGTAAGGTAACCACAGTAAGAGGCCTTTTTTAAAAAAAGAAACTTTTATTGCTGCTATGGAACTTTTTTTAAAAATCAGCTAATAATTTCTTTTGCAAACTAATCTGTGTGATTAGCAACATCAGAGTAATGTAAGAGGTCATAGGAGGAAGCTACAAAATTGAATGGAATAGTATAAGACATTTGTACATCCACAGTGCATCTCACTGTAAGTCATATTGTTGTAATAGATAATCCATGTCCTGAATTCCAACCCAAGAAGGGCAATCATTCTCTTCCTTCCCTTTAAAAAGCATTACTTACCACAAGGTATACATTAATGGTTTCTCAGGAACAGAATTATAGTAAGGTGGAATCTTCTATTTATACATGGATTCTTCCTTAGGAACAGATTCAATAACAGACTCTCTGGATTTCACATTGTGGACTCCCAAGGAAGGCTGTGAAGGAGTTGAGAAATTGATCTTTGAATCTTGTTCTGGAACTGGCAATGAGGACACTGGACAGCTTTGTATTATTGAATTTGTCTTAAGAATGCATACAAATATTCTTTGAGGATTAAGAAATAGATTGGCAAAGTAGTAGCTTTAAAAAAGAGGTGTTTTCTAAAAGGATTAATATATGGGATTTTGAAAAAAATATTTTCTGGTAATTGTAGTAAATTTCTTTCTTTTACTGTTGATTCACATTTCTTTATTTCAAATGTATTTCATTTTCTTTTTTCTAACAGTTACTATTGCTTTATTTATTCTGATGTATATCCTTTTTTTACTATAGGTAAATACTTTCATTGAAATAATATATCTTTGTGGGATGTAAACATTAATATAAGAGGATGCTCTTTACCTCATTTTATTTAAATTCCATGTTTACAATTTGGGGGAAATATGTTCTACCAGCGTTGTAGAATGTAAAATATATCAAACACCAACTTTATTTTTAAAATTGTACTAATTTTTTTCTTCTTTTTGATAATAGTTATGTGAAGACTGAGTATATTAAAATGAGTACTTGGTGAAAAAGTGTACCTTAATGTTTGTTCTTGTAATACAACTACAGTACTTGGAGGCTTCTAGTGCATTGTATTAACAATCAGCACCTCTATTTACACAGTGAGGTTTTGAATTTAAGTCCACATTTTACTGAAAGTGCATTTGTAAACTAACCCCCCCCATTTTCATATGTATGTAAATAGCATAGTGAAAGACTAATCCTGTACAGAAATCAGTTTTGGTATCTGCCAGTTGTACTTCTCAATCTCTATTGCACTTACATCTATAAATTTAAGCAGCTTAATTTTTAAAAATTTTACATATCATACAAAAGTTTATTATCTAGATTTTAAAATAACTGCTCTGAGACTTCCTGGGTTTTAAAGTTTGTATTTTTAGTTTCTTTAAAACATTTTGGTATCCAATTGGCATATTGTGCAAATAAATTGAAACTTCAATACAACAATCCCCTGTTTTCATAAAACAAACACACAAATAATTTGGGCTCTGAGGAGAATGGAATGTTATTAAACAGCTGGAAATTAAAATAGGAAATCACTTATTTCTTAAGTGTACCTTGAAAAATAACTTCACATGGAGTCAGTTATTCAAAATCCTGCTGATTGAAAGTAATGTTTGTCTGCAAAAATACCCTGCAGTAGAGGC